ATGGACCCACGCAGGAGCGAGGAGCCAGAACAGCTGAAAAAGGGGAGCTATTCAGAGGCAGGTGAGTCAACACAAGGGACCAGTGCAGGGCCCGTCCCATAGGAAGTGTTTGGAGCACGGGCAGTGGGGGAGACAGGCCCACTGGGGGAGCACTGACACATAGCAAGGGCAGCTGATCCGCCCCCCAGTCAGCACAGGACCACTCAGAGGAGACTGGTTCAGAATGCAGAATTGCATGGGGTACAGTTTGGTGAAAAAACTCAGGCCCAGATCAAGAGTTTCTACACAACCCAGATCCACAGGGTCTCTGGAGAGCCGGAAGTACCTATAAGGTCACCCATTAAACCCTGAGCTGCACAAACAGCATTCCCTAGGGAAACAGCAGCAAAGAAGCAATTTAGCTCAACCACACAGCTCAAGTACTGGTTCCCACAGGAAGTTCTCCCATTTTAGAAGTAAGCAAAGGACAACAAATCAGTTCCAGCCCAGGCACACCACCAGTGCCTTGGGGCCTGCCTGGGAACCAGAGGCTTGGAGCTAGGGCCCAGACCCCACTCCCACATCTAGGCACACTGTGCCAGTGCCTTGGTGCCCACCCGGGGACCTGAGGCATGGAAAAGAGGACCGGACACCTCTCCCACAGCCAGGCACACCATGCCAGCAGGTCAGGGCCTGCCCAGTGACCCGAGGCATGGATCTGGGGACCAGACCCCTATCCCACAACCAGGCACACCGTGTCAGCGCTTTGGGGCCCATCCAGGGACCCAAGTCATGGAGACGGGGACCAGACCCCCTCCCACAACCAGGCACACTGCCAGCACGAAGGAGCATGCCAAAAACATCACCTCCATGTGGGTGGCCCACCACAGCCACCACAATAACCATGGCTGCTGTGAAAGAGGCTAGACACCACAACCACCACACAGTTGGTCCGCTAGCCACTGGAGTGCATTGACACAAGGAGAGTCACCAGCAGAGATAAAGAAGAGGATGTCTCTCTCCACAAAGCCCATTTCAGAGTCATGGAAGAAGCATCTGCTCTATGATAATATTGGGGGACCTGATCACACTTCTCAGCATTGGACAGATCACCTAAGCAAGAAATCAACAGAGTAACCATTATTCTTTCAGAAGGAGAGAAGAAATCTAGGGCATTAGGTTGGGGAAAGTGGGGGATGGGGAGAGATTGGACAAGGGGCATAAAGAATAATTACAATTTGTAGCAATATGTGTGCTAGTAATATTGATCTCAATGTTGAACCCCCAAGATATGTATAATCAATTCTGATTCAATAAATAAAGTAAAAAAAACAATAAGTGATGGAATGGCAGAGAGTGGTAAGCCTATACATTTCCCCCTAAACCAGTGCCGTTCTTTATTTCACGACTGCTTGGCCTCCATTGTGACAAGTACACTGGCAAAACAGCCTGTAGCCAAACAGTTAAATTTCATAATTGGATTCTAACACGTGCCCTTCTGGTTTAACTTTGCCAGTATTTCCCCTCTAAATGTGCTCTTTTGTTAAAACATATGAATAATCATATCCCCGAGATTAGTTTTTTCCTTTTATTTAGTGAAACATGCATCTTGATGTAGTCAAGGCTGCTATAAATTAGAATGTCTTTTATTATTTCCTTTTAGTGACAAATTCAGTTTTGTCATTTGAAAATCTTTTTAAGTCATTTTGACTTCTGGAGGATATTTTCACTAGGCATAGAATTCTGGGTTGTTGGCTCTTTATTGTTAGCATTTTTTTGCCTTTTTTTGTTTGTTAGCAGTTTTACTATGATGACAAGGTGTGGCTTTCTTTATATATATCCCGCATTGGGCTTGTAGTGCTTCTTGAATCTGTGGCATAATGACTTGTATCATTTGGGAAAATTGTCAGTTTCTCTTCAAATCTTGGTTTTTGCATCACTTGCTTTCCTTGTCCTTCAGTGATTCCATTCATACGTGTGTTAGTTTTCACCACATCCCTTCCATTTACACTTGTTGTCTGTGTTTTTCATCCCCTTATCTCTCTGTACTTCATTCTAGATATTTACTTTTAACCTATCTAACAGTTCTAACTAATTCTCTTTTCAGTGGTAACTGGTTGTAGTTAACCATTTATTGATTTCTTATTTTTGTTGTTTGTTTTTCAGCTCTACAATTTCAATTTGGTCCTTTTGTTTATATAGTCTCAGATTCTCTACCAAAATATTCACTCTTGTTTATCATCTCTTTGATCACAGTAAGCACATAGTAGTTTAAAAGTTTATATCTGTTAATTCCATTATATGTTCCTGTGGGTCTGTTTATGTTTTCTTTTGTTTCTTTCAGTTTTCGTTTTCGTGGTCTTGCTTTTTCTTGTACCTGATTACTTTTGATGAGAAAAACCAAAGAAACATTATGAGGCCTAGGATAATATTTTCTTCTACAGAGAATTTGTTTTCTTCATGTGTTGGGGGCAATTACAATCTTAAATCACTTTAATCTAGTTTCAGAAATTTAGATACCTGATTACTTTTGATGAGAAAAACCAAAGAAACATTATGAGGCCTAGGATAATATTTTCTTCTACAGAGAATTTGTTTGCTTCATGTGTTGGGGGCAATTACAATCTTAAATCACTTTAATCTAGTTTCAGAAATTTAGATAATTGACAGTTAGTGTTTCAGTCCTTGTGATGGCCAGCCTAATTTTGGTTTACTCTTATTCATTCGTGGGGTATAACTTTTAGGGATCAGAATTCAAAGGGTGTTCTAGTGTCCTTTCCCTTGGCTGGCTCTGATCTCCAGTTTTTTATTTCCTAGCTCCATAGCAAAATCACAACTGCTGGCTACTTATTCTTAGCTTTGGTCTCTTCTTCAGGAATCAGAGGAAGTCCCCAGGGCAAAGCATTCCTAGTCACTTAACTTACCTCTTTGGGTTACCTTCTCCTGGATCCCAGCCTCTTAACTATGCCTGGTTCCTTCACTGCTTTCATAGATCTCCCATACCTAAGGTCACAGAGAGCTTGGTCAATATTACCATTATATTCATAGACTATCAGTACTAGAGACAGAACTCTGCATTCCTGATCTTTTGCTGCTTCTTCAGTGTCATTCTTTTTTAACCTTCCGTAGAATGAATCAAAAAATTTATTTAACCATGCTTCTTTTGATGGTCATTTAGGGTGTTTCAGTTTTTCCTTATTACAAGTATTATATGAATATCCCAGTACATTTATCTTTACATGCCTGTTCTAATATTTCTTTAGGTAAAAACTTCTATAATGGAATTGCTGGGCTGAGGTGTTTAATGTATTTTATATGTTAATTAAAAATATTATAATGCCTTCCATAAAGGCAAAATCAGTCAACATGTCCAATAAATAATGAGTGGAGTAATTTCCCTATTATCAAAGTTTGTCATGGATTTTCTCTGAATTGTCATTTGCTAAATTTTCTTTATCTCAGTGTTTTTGTAAGAATGTATCAAATATAGTCTGAATAATCTTTTGTCTATTGTAAATAATACAAATATTATTGTTTGTTATGATTTAAACAGATTTTAATACAGAAATTTAAATTTTTGATTTTATTAAATTTATTCCTATCTTTATTGTTTTTTAAAAAAACATTGCTCATATTTCTTCTACTTTATATCACTTGAAATCTTCTATGGTTAATTAGGCAAATACATTTGAATGGTTTTATATTTGAGGGTAATATAAAATAAATCTATTGCTGATGTTATTTTCAAAGCCACATTGGATTTAGCAAATGGAGTTTTGTCATAGAAGAATAAGTCATACTTTTCTGGGAATATGGTTGGTATGATGAGTAGGGCGATAGTATTTTCTTTCTCAAAATAATGGAAGAATCCATTTTTTTAATATTTAAGTGTTTTGGGTTTTTTTTGTTTTTTGTTGTTGCTTTCTAAGTCTGACCAATTGACCTTCCTGAACTCAAACTGAAATAAAATTCAATGAGCATTCCTTATATTCCCATGAAAAATACAAAGTTAATTTTATTGTCTTGTGACCATAGAGCTCCTCGTTTGAATAACTTCTTTTCCCCTGATGTTTGCAGTGTTTTGGTAATATTTTAAACTATGGTAGTTCATGGAATTTAACTTTTGGGACACCTTATCACAACAGGAGGCAGCATTCTCTTACTTTTTAAAAATATCTTTTCTCTGATTTTTTGAGGGGTGGTGGGGAGGAGCTGGCTGACTGATATAGGGCTTTCTTGATTTTGCTACTTGAGTAGTATAGTTCTTTTAGACATTCAAAGACAATTAAATATTTATTTAATTATTTAAGTTCTTCAGTGAATATTTTCTGCTATTCTCCAGTACTCGTGTTGAGTCTGTTTAGAAGTCTAAATTTCCTAGTTACATATTGGGAGCTGAATTGTAAGATAGATAGAAACCCAGGCCCTCCGGTAGACAGGTTTCAACTGGGCATGTCTGAGTGAATTTTAATGTGGGAGGAATTAGATTTAATAAGGTTATTTTCAATGAGGTCCTGAGAGAAAAGGGAACCTGTTGAATTTAGGTGGTACAATGGTCAGTGAAACAACTTTTAGTCCAGCATCATCATGTGTTTGGCTGCCAAAGGATGTACAGAGTGGAGGTTTTAACTGAAACATGAACTTCCTCAAGGAAGCTTTTCTGATCTTGAGGTCTTGATTAGATCAGGTTTATTTTCTCTTAGCATGCTGTACTTATCTTGTATCACTATTGTAATTAAACTATTACATGCTTTTAATACAATCTCTTTGAATGTAAACCCCAAGAAGGCTGGTCTCTAGTATATTTTCTGTTAGTAGGTACACAAATGCCTGACACATGGTAGGTACACATCAATACTTATAGAATGAGAATTTGGGTTCATGTTTCTTTGAATTTGAGAAATGTTAAAATTCTCTTCAGTCTGCTAGTGTAGAATTTTTCACATCTTATTCACAGATGTCTCATCTGTTACTTTTATTGTTGCTAGTAGTATTTTTCCATTGCAGATGTTATCTTTGCTTAACAGCACTTTTTTTCTGAATGTGGTTGGTGTAAGTAGATCAGCCAGCCCCGTAATTTTGTTTTGTGTTTTGGTGGTTGGCTGGTAAAGGGAACTGAACCCTTGACCTTGGTGTTACCAAGGCTGTGCTGTGACTGTGCGACTGAGCTAACTGGCCAGCCCACCACTCCCAATTAAAGAAAAAGGAACTAGAAGTCATGGAAAGGAGTTTATTGCCTGAGTATCTCATAAGAAAATTTCATTAAAGGATTAATTTTTTTAAACCGCAACATTTATGAGAACTTTTGTAGACCCTTCTACCTGGTCTTGGTAGATAATGCTCCCTCACCAATCCTGTGAAGCTGTGTAACACTATAGCCCTGAATATTCATTTTCTAGCCATCCTTATCCTTGAGGATTATCAGCAAAATAAATCATAGGGAATCTTCTTCCTAAACCAAAGTTGGCAGAATGCATCTGGAGGGGTGTTGTGAGTACTGTAGTGCTATCATGTAGCTATCAAACGTTATTTACATATAGAAATGTTTTTTTTGTTTGTTTGTTTGTTTTTTAAAAAGATGACCGGTAAGGGGATCTTAACCCTTGACTTGGTGTTGTCAGCACCACGCCCAGCCAGTGAGCGAACCGGCCATCCCTATATGGGATCTGAACCCGGGGCCTTGGTGTTATCAGCACCGCACTCTCCCGAGTGAGCCACCGGGCCGGCCCCTACATATAGAAATGTTAATGCTAAAGTAGTGCGAGATGATTTACCAGAGTTTTAGCTATTAATTAATTAATTAATTAATTAAAATTATGCGAAGGATGGTTTAACAAATATGGAATTTAATTTTGAAAAATAGATGTGTGTTTTTTTCTTTGGCAGTACTTACAAGTTTGTGCTTTTGCTGTCAAAAAAATCCTTTAACTAATGGTCTATAATCTAGATTTGGGACTGATTGTATAATTTTCTTGGATGCATTAAAAAGTAATTAAAAACCTATTAACACTCTACCAATTACCAAATTACAGAAAAATATAGCTCAGTTGACCAATAGAGTACATTGAAAGGAAAAAGAAACCAAAATTTCTGTTGAAATTGTCTTGCTTTCAGATTTTAAACCATTTTGATTTTAATACACATCATTTAAATTTAAATAGCATCATATGTATTAGGAAAACATGAACAGAAAGGAAAGAGAACTACCATAAAGTAGGAGGACACACTTGTTTTTTGTGGGTCACATGGTTGAGTTCCTAGAAGGATAATTATTTATTTACAATAGCAATAGAGGAGTAGTCAGGAGGATGTGCAAAATCTAACTTGTATAGCATATTAAGTATTTAGTGTATAGAGTAGGACTAGAACCTCATATTAGCAGTAAAATACATAGTAATAACCTAATTAGGTTGTCTTTGGACTTTATTTAAGAAGAACTAAAAGCACTTGAGAGAGATGAAAGAAGACTACATTTTAAATATGGCAGATCTGTCCAAATAAATGTGTAGTCTAAATACAATCCCTACCTGACAAAATGAAAGAAAATTGGAAAAAATTTTCCCTACCAAATAATAAAGCACACTGTAAAATTATAGAATTCAGTCATTGTGTTGAGCACAGATCAATGGAACTAAGTATAGTACAGAAATAACTGGAGAGGGCAGTGACTTTTCAATATATATTTCAAGGGCGATTGATTATTTTTTATTTGAAGAAATGTATAATATACTATTCCATAATGTTGGCTAGGTTAAGTCAGTCATTGTTTTTCAGTGACCATGTTTTATTTATTCTCTGACTGATGTGTATTGTAGTAGGAGACTAGAAGCATCGATTCTACTTCTAATTCAGCTATTAAGTGTGTCTTTGGATAAGTCACTTTATCTTCCCAGCCGTTGTTTTTTCCTACTTCAAAAACTGAAAGAGTTAGATGAACATAGGTTTCTTAAAAATTCTGTCTTGTGCCATGAATGCATCTATTACATTTAGAAAAATAGGGGATTTTAAAATTTTGTTTGAAAGTAGAACAATTTGTACTTAACATAAAGATTTTTCCTCTTAACTGACTTTTCATGTCTTTCATGAAACAATTAATGTCCTTTAAAATATTTTTTCTCAAAGGGATTTTTAGCTAATCAGATGAGAGCTGAAAACTTGAAGGATGCGTCTGTATTACCTGATTTGTGCTTGAGTCATGCAAATCAGTTGATGATTATGTTGCAAAATCATAGAAAATTGTTGGATATTAAACAGAAGTGTACCACTGCCAAACAAGAGCTAGCTAATAATCTACATGTCAGACTGAAGTGGTGTTGCTTTGTAATGCTTCATGCTGATCAAGATGGAGAGAAATTGCAAGCTTTGCTCTGCCTTGTTATAGAGCTGTTAGAAAGAGTGAAAATTGTTGAAGCTCTTAGTACAGTTCCTCAGATGTATTGCTTAGCTGTTGTTGAGGTTGTAAGGAGAAAAATGTTCTCCTAAATCTAATTTCGGATGTTTAGAGTTGGTGTTTATGTTTATTTCTCCCAAGTGATGGGATAATTTTTCCTTACTACTGTATTGAAATACTTGATTAACTTTGGGCTTAGACTGTCTTAATGTTTGTATGTTTCTAATTTCGGATGTTTAGAGTTGGTGTTTATGTTTATTTCTCCCAAGTGATGGGATAATTTTTTCTTACTACTGTATTGAAATACTTGATTAACTTTGGGCTTAGACTGTCTTAATGTTTGTATGTCTTGATTTCCTTAGCTTAATTAATAAGGAATTACTTTCAATAAACTTGTGAATGTTGAAAATAATGGATTTCATTCTATAGGTGGTGTTGCTTTGTAATGCTTCATGCTGATCAAGATGGAGAGAAATTGCAAGCTTTGCTCCGCCTCGTTATAGAGCTCTTAGAAAGAGTCAAAATTGTTGAAGCTCTTAGTACAGTTCCTCAGATGTACTGCTTAGCTGTTGTTGAGGTTGTAAGGAGAAAAATGTTCATAAAACACTACAGGGAGGTATGCAAGTTGAAATCTATTTTAATTGTACACAAACATTAATGAATTGGTGTATGTTACTAACATAAGTTTTCCTCTTCTAGTGGGCTGGTGCTTTAGTCAAAGATGGAAAACAATTATATGAAGCAGAAAAGTCAAAAAGGGAATCCTTTGGGAAATTATTTAGTAAGTATTCTTCATTAATAACTTTATTTACTTTTTAAAAGAAAAATACTTTTTAAAATTTTATAGACATGAGTTATCTACAGCATTATACTGCATGTATTTGTGCTATTAATTACCAGTGAAATCTAGAGAAACGTTCCTTTTAAAGTTTGTAGTGTCTAATCCATTGTTTAATTTTAAATGTGAAGCATTGTCAAATTTTAATTAATTTTTTCATAAACCACAGATAATTTTTTTGCCTTAAATAAAGTTCTAAAATAACCATTTTGTTAATTTCTTTATACAGGGAAATCTTTTTTAAGAAATCGTCTGTTTAGGGGACTGGACTCCTGGCCCCCTTCCTTTTGTGTATGTATTTATTTTCTAACCATGACTGAATTCAGTATGTTTTAAAACCTCTTATCCCCCCAGGTGTAGAGACAATTATCAGAAGCTTACAGAAATTGGTTTTTTTGTTTGTTTGTTTTAATCAACATAAAAATATTTTTGGCCTTAAAAGCCAGGTGGCATGAAGCTTTAAGATATATTCATAATTTTTGATCCAAAGTCTTCATAACATGGGAGGATACCTCTCATACTACAATGTTAGGATTGGTAGGAATAGATTTTCTGGTTCTTTTTTTTTTTTTTTGTCTTTGGTCCTCCGCTTTTTCTATCCCCTCTTCTTTCTCCACCCTTTCTTCTCCTCCTCTTCTCTGCTTTCCCACCTTCTTTCCTCCCTTCTTTATCCCCTCCCAACCCTTTATGTTTTGGCAGATCAGAAAAGGGTGATTCTTCAGTAAGTCTTCACTGGAATTAAACTGTGAAAAATTAGTTTGGCCATTAATTTTATTATATAAAAAGAAACATTTCTGTAGTCAGAGAAGTTTGGGAAATGTTGGTTTTTTTTTCCCCATCAGCGGTACTGCTTAGCTGTTAGGCATGTTTCTGTACTGCAGGATTTCTTAGGGTTTTAAATGTATATATTATTTTAATATCTAAGAATGGATGATGTGATAGGAAGGGATTCCCACATGTATTTATCCCAGAATGCTTTTTTATGAAGAGCATCTTGACATCTCTATATCTGCTTGAAGTAATGATTCAGACCATTGAAGTTATTTTAAAAGGTGCAGTTCTTGGCAGTGTTCTCAGGGAAAGAAATGGTAGGGCTTACCAGGTATATTTTTTAAAAGAAGCTGAAATTGCCCAAGAGTTTGTATTTTGGAAAACGTAATGGAAAGGTCAAGGGAAGGGTAAGGAAAGAAGGATTACATACCAAAAAAAAATTTTTTTATACAGCGTTAGAGTAAGGTATGAAGATAGTTTTAGAGGTCTTCATGACCATGCTATAGGTCAAGGAAAAATTTCGGAACAGCATATTTACTAGGTAAACAAATGCTTTCATTTAATGTTGATGAGAATACTAGAATTTTCATTATATGATGCTAAAAACTGAGAAAGAGAGGAACATCATCAGTTGATCACCAATACTTTCTGTCCCAGTCTACTAAAGGGTCAGAAAAACAGACCACCATGTCTTCACTGAATAGTATTGCATTTTTATTTTATTATTTTCTTTCTTAAGGGTGCTTAGATCATTTGAAGTACTATTGTTTGTTGGATTGAATTTGAGTGTAGTAAGAAACCATATGTAAATTTGTCTTTTATATATATATACTTTTTGTACAGACTCAGAAGCCTCGAAAGTTTGACTGTGAGCTTCCAGATATTTCATTAAAAGATTTACAGTTTTTGCAATCATTTTGTCCTTCAGAAGTTCAGCCATTCCTCAGGTAAGGGATGCCAGGATAGAGTAATGTTTTATGATGTATTCGCTCCTATGACTGTGTTAAGAAATTTCTGGGGAATATTAAAATGATCAGAAAACAAAAATATATTAGAAGGAAGTTTATGCCTTACTTGCAATTTTTTTTTTCCTAGTAGGTACTCTGACTTTACATACTGCTGGGGAGATCTTTAACATCACTTTGCTGATTACAATTCAGACTACGTAATATATTCCTGGTATTAATTAAAAAGGGATGATAATGTTCTAGTTACATATTTTACATATTGGGCTATTTGGCTGCAGTTATTCATCTTTTCATTAAGAAATGAGAAATCTAATTTGATTTCATTCTGTTTCAGGGTTCCTTTACTTTGTGACTTCGAACCTCTACACCAGCATGTACTCGCTTTACATAATTTGGTAAAAGCAGCACAAAGTTTGGATGAAATGTCGCAGACCATTACAGATCTACTGAGTGAACAAAAGGCAAATTAAGTTCTTTCATATAGTTTTCTTCATTAGTGTAAAATGTTTGTGTTGGCTGCAGTTCTTTAAGCCTATCTCTCTGTTTTCCAGGCATCCCCACAGTCTGCTTCTTCACCAAGGGCAGAAAGTGCAACAGGAATTACAACTACTACCTCACCAAGAATTCCTCCTCCACTCACCATTCAGGATCCCGTATGTCCTGCAGTATGTCCCTTAGAAGAATTATCTCCAGATAGCATTGATGCACATACATTTGATTTTGAAACTATCCCCCATCCAAACATAGAACAAACTATTCACCAAGTTTCTTTAGACTTGGATTCATTAGCAGAAAGTCCTGAATCAGATTTTATGTCTGCTGTGAATGAGTTTGTTATAGAAGAAAATTTATCATCTCCTAATCCTATAAGTGATCCACAAAGTCCAGAAATGATGGTGGAATCACTTTACTCATCAGTTATCAATGCAATAGACAGTAGACGCATGCAGGATACAAATATATGTGGTAAAGAGGATTTTGGAGATCATGCTTCTTTGAATGTCCAGTTGGAAAAATGTAGAGTTGTTGCCCAAGACTCTCACTTCAGCATACAAACCATCAAGGAAGACCTTTGCCACTTCAGGACATTTGTACAAAAAGAAAAGTGTGACTTCTCAAATTCTTTAAAATGTACAGCAGTAGAAATAAGAAACATTATTGAAAAAGTAAAATGTTCTCTGGAAATAACACTAAAAGAAAAGCATCAAAAAGAACTACAGTGTCTAAGAAATGAATATGAAAGTAAACTTGGTGCACTGATAAAGGAGAGTGAAGAAAATGAAAACAAAATTAAAAAATTGAAAGGGGACTTAGTATGCCTTGAGGAGGTTTTACAAAATAAAGATAATGAATTTGCTTTGGTTAAACATGAGAAAGAAGCTGTCATCTGTCTGCAGAATGAAAAGGATCAGAAGTTGTTAGAGATGGAAAATATAATGCACACTCAAAATTGTGAAATTAAAGAATTGAAGCAGTCACGGGAGTTGGTATTAAAAGACTTAAAAAAACTCCATGTTGAAAATGATGAGAAGATGGAGTTATTGAGGGCAGAACTTCAGTGCTTAGAGCAAAGTCATCTAAAGGAATTAGAGGACATGCTGCACGTCAGGCATAACCAGGAGTTTGAGAAAGTTATGACAGATCACGAAGTTTCTTTGGAGAAATTAAAAAAGGAAAATCAACAAAGAATTGATCAGATACAGGAATCTCATGCCACAATTATCAATGAAAAAGAACAACAGCTACAGGAATTAAAACTCAAGATTTCTGATTTGTCAGACATGAGATGCAAGTTAGAGGTTGAACTTGCCTTGAAGGAAGCAGAAACTGATGAAATAAAAATTTTGCTAGAAGAAAGCAGAGCCCAGCATAAGGAGACTTTGACATCTCTCATTGAACAGGAGACAGAAAATTTGAGAATAGAAATAAGTAAACTAAACCAAAAGATTCAGGATAACAATGAAAACTATCAAGTGGGTTTGGCAGAGCTAAGAATTTTAATGACAATTGAAAAGGATCAGTGCATTTCAGAGTTAATTAGTAGGCATGAAGAAGAATCTAACATGCTGAAAGCTGAGTTAAACAAAGTGACATCTTTACATTACCAAGCATTTGAAATAGAAAAAAACCTAAAAGAGCAAGTAGTTGAACTGCAGAGTAAATTGGAATCAGAATTAAGTGCTCTTGAGAAACAAAAAGATGAAAAAATCACTCAACAAGAAGAGAAATATGAAGCTATTATCCAGAACCTTGAGAAAGACAAAGAGAAATTGGTCATGAGCCTGGAACAAGACAGAAAACAGTTAATTCAGAAGCTTAATTGTGAAAAGGGTGAAGCTATTCAGACTGCCCTGAAAGAATTTAAACTGGAGAGAGAAGTTGTTGAGAAAGAATTATTAGAAAAAGTTAAACATCTTGAGAATCAAATAGCAAAAAGGTAAGAATTAAGTCTGTTGTTATAAAATTAAAACATTCAAATGTTCTGTGTGTAAACATAGTACATTGATTTACTCATTTACCTTAGGTAAATGTAGCAATTGGGATATTTTCATGAAACAAAAACTTTTAATTTCTAAGTAGTGTATATTGCAAACATTATAAAAATAACATACTATAAACCCATTAATGCCTTTCAAAAATGATTCAGTATTCTGGATTTTCAGAGAAATGCTTTTTTGAAAATTTGAAATGTTTTGAAGAACTTTTATCTAATTCATAAATTCATTATTTGCAGTTTTTTCTAAATTCTTCAGTTGAAAATTGCTTATTTTTGTTCTCTTTAAATTTAGTATGTATGTATTAACGACTCTAAAAGTTTCCTCTGAGCAAAGTTTCCTCTTTGGTATGTTAAGCAAAGGCTGTGTCATAGATTGCGAATATGTAGAGTGTTCACATTGTTATTTTCTTAATATTACAATTTCAGTTATTTCCTCTGTAGTTTGAAAGATAATGTTTTTAAATTCCAGGTTTGATACTGTGGTCGGGGGTTGATTTTTGTTGTTGTTTTTGCATTTTTGTTATTGTTACTGTCTGATGTTACTGCCTTTTGAAAGAACCACAGAAGATGGTTTTTAGTATTTCTACTTTGTAAAAATTTATGCAGGGGTTTTATGGCCCAATAAACAGTTTCTAGATCACAATCAATATATTGATTAGTTCTATTATTAATTCTCCAAGTGGATATATTTATACGTATATATAGTATTATGTAAACTATATATGCCTATCATATATATATTTTAAACCTCTCTTTCTTGCCTTATCACTTTCGTGCAGTCAGTTGTGATTGACTGACTGTTATGTTATACTCATATATTGGTGTACAGTTAAACCTCCCCTTCTGGTTTGAAAATAGAAGCTCTTTATGTATTCTGGGGGGATTAGAGGGTTTAACAGAGGAATTAGGGCTTGCATGAATGTTTACAGAGCTGGGGGACTGAAGGTCAACATAGTCACTGCTAAAGGCTGAACAGTAAGGTGGTAAAAACATTATATTCAGGAAATATTGCAGTAGGGAAAAAGGGACCTCAGTATAGAACTGGGCTCAGGTCCAAATACAGCATGAACAAGTTGGGATTTATAGCCAAGGAGAAGTGAGGGGGTAGGTCAGTGGATGGAAAATTGCTAAGAGGAAGCATCAGAGAGAAGGAGTATGCTGGCTAAACTGACCTTACTGGATTCTTGCTGAAGGCAGGCCAGGGTGATAAAATACCAAGGGTGAAGGATGAGGAATTTGATCAGATACCAAGGGTTATCGGATATTGAGAGTGGCAGGTTCTCTCTAAACTGACTGAGCAAGATTCTTGCTGCAAGTGGGTAATGCAGGCCTGACAAGAACAACCAGGGTCGAAGCCTAGAGGGCCTAGAGGAGCCTGACTAAAGTTTAGTCAGAGGGAGTCTTTGTGTCAAGTTGTAAGTGAAATATCAGGAAAACAGATGCTGAAGCACTCACCAAAGCTGATGGCTGTCCATGGTTCCCTGGGAAGCTGCTGCAACATTCAAGAATCTCTTCAAAAAACCAATGGTCTGGCTCAATATGCAGCACAAAATGGGTAGTTGTCAGTTACTTGCCAGGAAGCGACCATGAAACTGTGTCTGGCTACAACCGCCTCCGGAGAATAAGCCTGAGCTGCTTTTCTACTTTCCAAATCTTGCAAGTGTTCTTTTATTGGCAAACTTGAAGCTGCACGGGAGATTCTGGAAAATGCAGAATCTCTACACTGTGGTGTGTATGAAACCATACAGAAGGGCTAGGGCAGTGCCAGCGGCACACCAGACAGTCCAGCACTATATACCCCCTTTATACTCAATACTCAGACATCTCCTCTTGCCCGTAATGAACTTTCAAATAAAGACACTTAACAATGTCAAGTTTCTGTCTGACGTGGTGTGCCTTATTTCCCTCATACCAGCTCACAGATTCTCACCTGCTCTTCAGTAGGAATACTCAAATTCATGTCACTCTAGCCCTCCTTTCTGCTGTGTCATAATTTATCCTTGATGTTCTATAATTTAAGTAGTGAAATACAGGGTTAGCTACCATTATCACACCTTATTTTCTATATTAGAGTAGTGGGAGAAGGGGATAAAGATAAAAAAAATTGTTAATATGTACAGGCTTAACTACTAGAGTCTTTATTTCTGTAACCAGCCTCATAACTCTAATAGGTATTTATAGCTTCCTTCTATTATCCACTCTTTTTTTTTTTTAACCTTAGCCAGTGCCTCAGCTGATCTTAGTTCTTTATGTGATATGCATGACTCAAATCTTTGTTTCTAAAGAAACTGCCATTAGTGAAATTTCCTGTAATACAGTTGCTGTAGTCTTTAATCAACTTTTTACATCATTGGACATGGCAATTCCAAGAGACAACCCCAGAAAATCCCTCTAGGTTCCAGTAATATTTCTCAGTCCTCATTGTATAGGAGCAACCTGTTTCTAATTGATAATGAAGTTCAGTCATATTAATCCATACAGCAGCCTCCTTCTTTGCCTGTTGACACAGTAGCATGAAGAGCCCTAACTGGCCAAGTGGTAGTGTAAGTTTCCAGTTCAGTGGGACCCTGGTTGTGTCTCCTGGTAAAGGAATTCTTTCGGGGGGAACTAAATCACCTCTCTAAGTCAGTATGGGCCAAAATTGTAGGGACAGGAAGCAAAATTTTTGCTTATAGGTCATTGGGGTAATAGAGTAGTTATTTCTGTTTTCAGCTGAACCACATATATTTACTGTGGTAGAATTAGTATCACATAGTGGTCTCTGGTTCTACTACATTTAGCCATTACCCTAGCTATATGAAATGTCACCCATCTGATACTGTAACTGAGTGTTCAAAAGATTTGTTCACAATTCTGTCAAGAAAACTGCTTTAGGAATTGGCATATGTGGTATGTGCTACATATCTTTCATTGTAAATGAATCCCATTGTACAGAAGCAATTCTAGTGGAATAACATAGCAGTGGATAAGGTATTTTGTAAGTTCATGAATATTGGTTTTGGCAGAAGTATTGTGGGCATGGAAGGTAAATTGGTATGGAGGCTGACTGCTCTTGTGAAGACAGATTGCTGTTCCTTTCATGATGGACGTGGTCCAGTGTAATCTGCCTGCCACCAAGGGGCTGGCTAGTCTCTAGGGAGCCGGCAGCACAGGGTGGAGGTGTGGCCTCAATGCTAGTTACTTGATGTGTGGACATCCATGTTGCTGAGCCCATGCATAACTTCACTTCCTGTCTCAGTGGAAAAAGGACATTTTCATGAGTGTTGAACAAGGACTGGTGAGATTGGAGAAAGAAGTTAATTGATACCCACTGAATCATTTAATTTGCCCATGTGATTATTAAAAGGTTCCTTGCAGTGGAACTTAATATCCTCAGTGGACTTAAATATTCTCATATTTTGTGCCCATTTTAATACATTCATACATATTCCTTTTCCACAAATCTCTTAGCACCAAATTTCAATCTGGGTCCTCCCAGGTCCTTCGCTATCCAGCCAAGCCTTTTAGCCAGTCTCCATGAATCATTGTTGACCTGTATCCCTGGCTATTTCTCCTTCTAGGTAACTTCAAGCACTGCTTGACATACTGCCACTGGGAAGATTTCCCTTTGCTATTGTTCTTCAGGGCTGCCCCTCAGCAGGGCTGTAATGCTTCAGCTGTGCTTTTGAAGAATGTCAGCATATTGTGCAGAATCATCAGGATACCAGGCCTGCCGATTTTTTTTCCTCATAGTAAATGCTGTAGTTACTATGAGGAAAGAGGGCAATGTAACAAGAACCTGAAGTCTTTGTACCTTTCTTGTGTCTTCAGGACTTGATTGTGCTAGATCTTGTATATGCCACATCTACCTGATGAAGGAGTGCATGCTGTGCATACCCAACATCGTGGCTTGGTGGCTTGGACAATATCTACTATATGTTGGGCAGCCCAGGTCTCATGGTAACTTGGGAGCCCATGGTCAATGTTTCATTCTCTACAAGGACCCAGCAGCAAGCCACAAACTATTTTGCAAAAGGAAGATCTGCTCTAAAGTCCTAAGGGTCTTAATTGTGATTCTCCTATAGGACTTGCCAAAGGCTCCATACAGCATGTATTTCTTCTACAGATTGTTCAAGCATCAGCTGGAAATATGCCCTAAGTGTTAGAGCAGCCTCTGCTCTGGGCCCTACACAGACAGGCAACCTTGTAAGTTTTGTGGTAAATGGCTTAGAGCAGCATACCCCAATGTGGTATATGTTGCTTCCAAAATTCAGAGAGGCTCACCTAGAGCAGCTTGTCCCTTCACCTTAGAGGGAACATCTCACATGCTTCAGACCACTGGACACTTAGACATTTCACTGTGCTGTCCAGCCCCTGAAGTTTTGTGGGCTTTATTGCCCAGTCTCTGACATGCATGTGTCTTATTCAGGTAGCTGCTACTTCCTGTTTATTAAGTCTGAGCAGCATGTTGCCATTAATGTATTGGATCAGTGTGATGTCTTGAGGAATAGCAAGAAAACCAACATTCCTGCGTACTAGATTTTTTTTTTTTCCTAAAGAATTATTTTGTTTTAGGAAAAAAGAATACTTAAGTCACTTTAATTTCAGTCATTTTCCAATGAAATTGTTCGTGTGAATTGTGTTTTGTCCTTGTCTACACTGTTAAGAGAAGAACTGTCCTACAAAGCCAGCCTCCAATATTTGAGGATAGATTTTTTTTTTAATTCCTGCCAACTCAATTTTAACATAAGACTGGACAGTTGATATAATCCTGAGATATATTGCTGTCTTTCTGTGTAGGTAAAAGCAAAGTGCTTCTTGTTGTCAATACCAGGGGTTGACAAACTGTGAGATTCTATGGGAGTCTGTCCACTGCTTATTTTTGTAAACACAGCTTTATTGGAATACAGCCATGCTATTAATTTATCTATTGCCTGTGGCTGCTTTTGGCGAAGTTTAGT